AGAGACTTTCATTGTCTTAAAACGGAAAAGAGGTTTCAGCAGACAGGATAATGCCAAAGGCACTCCAAGTTGAAAACTGTAATGAAAAGAACAAATTGGCAAACGAGCAAAGTGCATTGGGTAAGGAAACTTAGATATCCGTGGCTGAAGACAAGCACAAGAACAGAGTATCAAAGGTCAGAAAAAAACCCAGAGAAGAAAGTAAGGTGCAGAGAGTAAATATGGGAGACCTACTGAAACAATACCAAGGGCAAAGAGAACACAGGATTTCTTTTGAAAGTTTAAGTAATATCAAAAAAAATGATCTATGAGAAAAAGAAAATGAAAAGGTTGCAGAAACAGAAGAGATGAGCAGTCTGGGGAATGTGGCAAAACCAAGAGAGTTTTATGAGCGCAGTTTGAGTAAGTACTTCCTCTGAAAGCTTTCAAAGAACTTCAGAAACTCTAATTCATAATGCAAGAAATAAACAAGATGCCAAGAAATCTCATGCAATTTAAAGTTTTGACTTTTTTTTTGATGAAGAATGGTCAGACCACCAAAAAAAAAAAAAAAAGAAAAGATAGCAGTAAGGTTCTGACAAATTCATAACAGCGAAAGTATTTAAGAGGTGATGGGGACAATGAGAGAAACGTATGATCATCTCTCGGTAACCAAGGTAATGGGATAAAACAGCAAAAGGTCAGCAACAGCAGGAGATATAATGGACATGAACCTATATAACAGCGGCAATGGTCAGAATTAACTCAAAAAGAGTTAATGCCCTAGGATACTAGCTTAAGCAACTGAACCTTGACAAAGGGCAACAGCTCCACATTTTTTAGATAAGGGGATTTAATGTAAAGTTAAAATTTACATATGATATGTTTCAGAAGAAATAAGAAACCCTTAAAAATACTGTTGTTTCTCAAAATTCCGAAAAATGTTATTTCTCAAAGCATAACATGTCAAGACTGTTTTCCCCCTCATACACTGTGAAGATACAGCCTATGATACATATTGTCCTAAACTAGCTACTAATGCAATGTTTCAGTTTATTATAGAAGTTATGTTGATACATATGTTCTTTGCTGGTCTCACAAGGTTCTCTACAGGCTGCCTCAGAAAGGAGTTACCAGCTCCCTGGAACTTGTTGCCATTATTGGTGGCTGCCTGACAAGAGACAGATGTAATCACTCTGAGGTAATGATAATTTTCAATGACTGAGCTTTGCCCAGTCGTCAAGAGAACAATATCCCAGAAGATAAATGCTGGCAAAAATACCCTACCTGCAACTGAGTGTGGAGTCATATTCTCTGATGAACAGTGTGTAATTTCAGTTGTTTCATTTTTTAATTTGCTTAAAGAATCTCTGGTTTATTAAGAGGTAGAAATAAAACTCCAAAAGTGTAAATCAGTCCCAGGGATCTAACATCTTTTCGGATAATATCAGAACATAGCAAATTCAAAGTACGACATGAAAACAAATATTCACTAGCTAATATCGAGCACAGAAGGGTGGTCCTAGGAAAGTAGACTTAATAGCACTAGAAGTTCTCACTTAAAGCAGTTTTAAGAGGATCTGACAGAGAAACCTTCTAATGAAGATCTAAATTGTTAGTAATCCTACAACAAGAGCACACTGACTTAAATGTACCTGGAAACCTTTGGGACATTTTCTGATCTTACTTCTTCAGTCACGATAAAGTTTCTGTAACAAAAACCCTAGGAAACTCAGTAGGGTAAGCCATCTATCAATATATCTTTCCTCAAGTTAAACAAGAGAATTGTGCTCTTAGACAAATGTTATAGCTTCAGTTGCATTCAGTAATTCAAAGTGAAGCCTACAAATGAGATATCTCATTAGTTTGAGCAGATGGATCAAAATTAAAGGCTGAATCACCAACTCTTAATTTCCCAGTAGCCAGGAAGAGCTTGAAGTCTTGCAGAGGATGACTGTTGAAAAATCAACATAAGAAACTTCTCTCCATCTGTCAAAACACATGCCTGTAGAACACAACTACCTCCTACCAGCCTTAGTCTTAAAAAATGAAAACACACGTACATCTATTAAAACACATGAACATGTAACCTCAGTCAAGCATTACACTGTAACCTATAACATGACAGGGGCACACCAGCGTGACTTCCATAAGAGTAAACTACTCAGTTCTGGCATGGCAGAATTCTTTGAAAATGAGTTAGCAGAACTGTACAAAAACAATGTTGAATTTAATTTATTAAGTCATTCCGAAGACTCTGGTAAAGAATCTTAAAAGAGACAACACTGTGCAAGTTTGATGGCCACAGGAAAGTGCACATTAACTAATGGAACTTTAGAAGCGGGAAAGCCTTTTTCTCTGATTTTGATATTTCTTTCCTGTGTTTCAGTAGAAATTAGAACAGGTAGGTTTTTGGCTCTCTGGAGCACTCCTAATGAGATCTGTGTCTGTCACACACTACTCCCTGAATAGTTATAAAATTCCAACCATTTCCTGAATTCCATACAGATATACAACTGCCACGGATTTTTTTTTTTTTCTGAAGTATTAGGGAGGGCAATGTGTTAATATATCTTTCTAAGAAGTATATTTAGAAATAACCACAGATTTTTAAAAAAGCAAACAAACTTTACACACAGAGAATGTAAATAAACACAAATTTCGAGGATAACTCAAGTTAAGAAAGGTAACAGAGCATGATGGTTACAGACTACCATGAACGTGGACACAAGGTAATGGACTTCCAAAAATTAAGAAGATTGGAAGAAGGTGATAACTTTAGAAGATCAAAGACTATTCTCAAAATTGTGAAAAGACACTAAAGAAAACCTTCCTAGCATAGTATTCATCATATTCACTCATAATATTAATCTTCCACTATGGGGTAGGAATTTAATTGTAGATATTTTTGGGTTTGCACCTTTTTTTTTTTTTAACATATGCAGTTAGCTTAATGATTAGACAGATCATTTATCATGGCACATGCATTAAAAGGAAAAATCTCTAATTTTCAGTATGTAGTACAATCCTACATACTATAATTAATTGTATTATATAATAAGCTGATATGCTTGATTCTGCATTGTCAGAGACTGTATACCAATGTTTGTATATCATTCATTTCAGGATATGAATGTTTCATAAGTATCAAGACCAATACATTTGAAATACTCTGAAGAAAGGTCCAGTGTAACAGGTTGGTATTTAGACTTGTATTTAAGAAAGTTCTGCAACATAGCAAAACAAACATTTTCAAGGAAGGAAAATGCTTAACATTTACAATCAATTGAATCAAATTAACCAAAGCGTTCTGAAACCAAATCAACATTTATATAGGAAGGGAAACCACCCTTCTACTTTGTCTGAAGATACAGTCCTTATTCGGTTGTCAGTTGAAAACATAATTTTCAGAAACTGAGATCTGAACAGCTGCTGAAACTGTAACATTAAGTAGACAGCAGTTCTTCACTTGACCTCTTTCAGCTGTATGTCATGCCTTAAAACAAAACACTCACGCATTCAGCTGCTAGTACAGGAACTAAAAACTATTCTCAAGGAAAGCTACAAAAACATCTGCTAGAATTGCAGAATTTATTGCACTTGAATTTTTCAAATAATATTACATATGTTTACAGACAGTTTTTTCCTCAGTGTGAAGAAAAGAGAGGGGAAGAAAGCTGCAATAAATACACTGGAAAAGTACGCAATTTCCTGCTGGGAATCCAAGATATGCTACTCATTTAGACATACTGATTTAAAGAATCTGCTACTTGTAGATTTATCTACAGGAAGTGAAAATACATAAAATCATAACAAGAAATGACAGATAAGCAATGAAATGTTAGCTTAACTGTAACTAAACAACTAAATGTTAGCAACACTATAAGTAACAGTGTTAGGAATTTGGTAAGGTACATGCACAATTGACAATGAGGAAAAAATAAACTAAAGTTTCCTTGGTACTGCCAACAAATTTTATTAACAGTCTTCAGTCAGGAAAATATCATTTTCATACGCAATCTTCACGAAAGTTTTCTGAATGTAACAACAGTAACTGCTATAAACAAGAGAAGGTAAGTGGAAGAATGGTGTTAAAACTGGGAGAGCAGGAGGACTAAGAAGCTGTTGATGAAGTTTTTTTATCCCTCCAAGTCATAAATCCACTGTTCATCTTTCAAAAAACACCACAACCTGAATTTTATGTGAAAAGGGGGAAATGT